TAGCCCGCTTCTAGATAGCTAGAAGATTTCGTCTCTATTGTGCCACTAAAAGAATTGAAGATGTTGAAGTCTTGAGTGTCGACTCAAAGGAGGAAGTCGAGCTTGAACGTCTAGCAAATGAGGAACCCACAAACAAAGAATATGTAGCATCCCCCATCTATGACTCCAAAAGGAGGTCCTCATAATTCAACATGAAGGAGTACCTTCAGTTATGCTAACATGTCGACCAATCCACCACCATCCATCCTAGAACATACACTATCATTGAAGTTTGACCCCTTGATTTGTATGGTCAACATCATCAAGATACTCAAACCTTACAACTTCTCAATCAGCAAAGCCACAAATTCTAAGATGAATGTCATTTCAAGGCTCTTCTAGAGTTAAGTTATGCGAGCACCTCTCATAATCTTTCTCTGATGATTGGTGGACCCCAACGACCATGCATGATTCAACCTTGGACCAAAATTTTCCTAGCTCAATACAATATTGGGGTTATGCAACACTTCGTCTGCAAAGGGAAAGAAAAGAAGGCCAACTAAGGATGTAAGCACTACAAGAATTTCGCGGATTAGCGAGGGAATTTAGCGAGGGATATAAATCCAAGCTATTTCCTCGCTAATTAGCGAGGGACTGGCGAGGAATACAATTCCTCTCTAATCCCTCGCTAATTAGCGAGGAAATAGCTTGAATTTATATCCCTCGTTAAATTCCCTTGCTAAATAGGACCATTTTGCGACCAACCTTCATCTCCTCGCAAATTCGTCGCTAAAGCTAGTGCTTATTTAGCGAGGAACTTAGGCCCTCGCAAATCCCTCGCCAAATTATGAGCCAAAATATAAAAATGAATTTTTCATCTAGCAAGGGAATTTTGTTTTCGCAAATCCCTCGCTAATGAGTTATAACTATAGCCCTCGCAAATGTCTCGCAAATCTGTCGCAAATTAGTGAGGAAAAAGGTTTTTCGCTAATCCTTCGCAAATAAGAGATTTCGTTGCTAGTAGAATTTGAAATTCAAGTATTTGTAAAATTTCTTGAAATAGTAGAATTTCAAATTCTCCCAAAAAAGTAAGAATTTGAAATTCCTCATATTTTTTTTTATATTTTACTTATATATATTTTATCTTGTTTGTTATCTCTTCATTTTTTTTAATTATTGAATATTTATAGATATTTTTAAAATTATTAAATATTATCTAATATTAATTTTAAAAATTATTAAATATTATCTAACATTATCTATTAAATAAAACTATTGATTAAAAGATAAAGTATACAAATTTTTAGACTTAATTTATTGAATAAGAAATTCAATATATAACGTAATTACATTCATTAAATAACTCTTTTAAGAGTTACTTTTGATGTAACTGAATTTTCACTCATATATATTTTTTAAAACACACACACACACACACACATATATATATATATATATCATCATAAATTTTAAATATAATTTATATGTTTACAATATGAATTTAGTCCGTATATGTTTTGTTTTCTTAATTATGATAATTTAAAATATTTTTGTTTATTTTGATTTATATATGAATTTAGTCTCTGTAAGTTCATGTTTTCTCAATTTTAGTTCTTTAAATTTTTATCCTTATAAATATGCATTTTTCAAATTTTAGTTCTTTAAATATATATTATAATTTTCTTTCACTTTAGTTCATGTAACTTCGTACTAACAACTAAAAATTAGAAAGAAAAAATATAAACTTATATTGACTAAACTTTGAAAAAAAATATTATAAAGATTGAAATTGAGAAAGGATAATCCTATAAGGATTAAAAATAATTTTAAAAAAATTGGAAGGATCAACATTAAAAAACTCTAAATTAATATTTAGCTTATATTTCATATATAATATTTGAAAAATTAAAGTAAGCATAAATTATATATATATTAATCAATTTTATCAAGATATTTGTTAATTATCATATTATATATAAAGAGAGTTATGGAAATAAGGACAATTAAATTAAATTATATATATATATATGTGTGTGTGTGTGTTTTCTTTTCAATAAACATAACTCTACTTTCTTCTTTTTCGCCACATTAGTATGCTATAATAGTTTTCGTTTTTATAAGTTTTTTGTTCCAAATATTATTTTATTTTTATACAATTGTAATTTTAGTACATTTATATCATATATAAATAAATCTTAAATGAAAATTTTATTATAATGTTGTGAAAAGAAATACTACTTTTTAAAGTATGTATTTTACTAATAATGTATTTTCTATAATTAATAAATATTGCATGATTGTGTAGAGAAAAAAAATACACTTACTTTTTCTCAACAAAAAAAAAAGCAATATTAATATTATAAGAGGTAAAAGTAATAAATACATGAGGTTTAAAACAAAACTATTTGCATAGAGTAAATATTTCACTTTATTTTTAATTTATTTTAAATTTTTTTCAAATACAAGTATTTTATTATTTTTAAAACTAAAAAAACAACTTAATTATTACTTTGGAATTTAAAATAATATCATATTAGAATTGTAATAGTATATCTTTTTGTATATTTTTATCAGTATTATTTCTATTTAATTTATTATTATTTTTATTTATAGTTTAAATTAAATTCATTTATAAAGATAAATTTTTTTTAAATTTATCAAATAAAAAATTTAAAATACTTGTATTTAATAATATAATATGTTTAAAAAATTATATTGACTAATATTTTTTTATACTTATATAAAATAAATGAAAAAAGAGTTATTACTGCTTTATTTTTTTAGTTTCCCTCCAACCCTAAGAGTGAAATTTCCTTCTTCAAATTTCAGAAACCAACCTCACGAAGAGGAGGTGAAAGGTGAGGTGAAAAGGAGGTGAAGAGGAGGTGAGTGTGGCTTGCACGTTTCCGAACGTTTCGGAGCGTGAGCGTGAGTGTGGCTTGCACGTTTCCGAACGTTTCGGAGCGTGAGCGTGAGTGTGGCTTCCCCTTGAACGGCGTGGTCCAGTAGAGCAGAATCGGGTCTTGACGAAAAGGTTTGTCTCTCTTTTTCGCTCTCTTTTTGCTCACGAAGAGGTTTGTTTCTCTCTGTTTTTCATTTTTGTTTTCTCTTTTTTGCTCTCTTTTTGCTCACGAAGAGGTATGTGGTTGCCGCTTCCGCTTCCGATGATTAATGGTTTCTGTAAAATGCAAATCCCTAGCATTATCTGTTTTCTTTTTCAGATATAGAAAAGCAAAGAAACAATGATCATCTTTGATAAAATGCAAATAATGGGCATGACTTAAACTATCATAAAGCCATCTTTCTTTGGTATTTCTTTTTAAGATTTGAGTTTATCTATATGTTTTATTTTCGCAATTTTTAAAAGTTTCTATTTTTTGCATTTCAGTGCTTCCACATGTGCGAAAGAAAATCGTAGAGTCTATCTGCCACTATTGTGTTCTGCACCCATTAAGGTACATGCGGGGAATTTATTTAGAATTTTTTACATGTCTTTGAAAGTCTAAAGTCAATTTAAATTTTATCTGGAAGACTGATGTTTGATTCATATATAAAAGAAAGTCAAATTGGTATCTGCATTTGTTATAATATTCCTTTCGGGCATTATTTATGCTTTATCTTTTGAATATGCAAAAATATGTATGGCTTCTAAAGAACATGTTTTGCTTGTTCAAACAACAAATTTTGTAAATTTATTCTTATTTTATCTCTTATTTGAGTATGAGGTAATCAAGGGACGTGGGAAATGGAGTGAATCCCTGAATGAATTGAAGAAGACACATTTGAAACCTAGGATTGAATCATGTGAATCAAGATTCAAGAATTTGAAATATAATAATTATGGTTGTGATATTGTTGTTGCACTTGATTGTTCTGTAACTGGTGAAGGGTTTAAGGAAAGAACGGATTAAAAACCCAGGAAATATAATTGTTTATGCTCTAAATTCAATTGATCCGAGTCAGACTTTAAAATTAACAATAAAATTATATATTTGTTGATATGGTTTGGACTTGTCTTGTCAGGAACCCACTAAGGCCAGAAGTTATATATTAAGCTCAAGAAATTCAATTAAAATTTCAAAGTATCTTTTTCAATCTTTAGGCTAAATTATTCTATAATTTCTTCCATTTCTTCTACTCTTTATGATTATAAAATAAACTTTACTCAGAAACTGTTGATTGAAGCTGGATTTGCTTGTTAATCATAATTAAATATTTCATTTCTAAAGCTGAATTGCAGAATAGAAAATTGCAAGTTTATCATTGTGCAGTATCAATATGCAAATTACTCAAGTCCCCTCTACAAAGTAACTGGAAAAGGGTTTCTAAAGCTTCAATCAGATGAGCCATTTGTTTTAGCTGAACAAGCACAACAAGTTTACTACACAAGATACCCACAAAGTGGGGGTAGATCTAGTGATGAATGGTGGGCAGCTTGCAAAGTTAGACCAAAACTTTTTATGGCTGAGACATTAAATGATGAATTTGGTGGTTCAAATGAGCTAACTTATACTGATTATTATCAAGATGATGGATCCATAACAGCACACCAAAGTGTTATACACGATGAGACGATACCATTGTTTGATGGAATTGCTCCAATGGAAGAAGTAGGCAACAATGATATACATCATCCAATGGACAACTTGCATCATGATCACTTCATTGATGATATTGAAGATGATGAGATTGAAGATATTAACGAGTTCATAGATGACGAGGAATTATATGATTCAGAATCTAGTTATGATTAACAACTTGATTTTGAAAGGTGATGAATATATTCTAAAAGGTTTTAGTTTCAACACATTACACATAATTACTCATTTTTTAGTGTTAAAATAAGAAATAGATAAAAGGGTTTCTAATTGGTACTAGTATTGCCTTATTTGATTACTTGTGGTTCTTTATGACTTTAATTTCCCATATAAATGATCACTTTTTGTTGTTTTAATTTTATGTAGGTAATCATTATGCCAACTACTCGAGGAAGAGGGCGTCGGGTTAATCAAGCTAATAATCCTCATCAGCTCACTCAAATTGCTTCGAATCCTCCACCACATGTTTCTCATCACTCACCTCGTACACTTTTAGAATAACATTTTAATTATTAACTCTATATTTATTTAAATGCAATGGATAAAATCTAACTTTTCTTTACTATGTTTGTCTAGGTGATGGATCTACTAGTTCATTAGCTAATGGTGGTGCTACATCAGCTAGTGGTGGACAATCATCTGATACCACCCCCTTGATTAATGGTGGTGAATCAAATACTATCCCAACATCTGATAATCAACAACCTACTATGGTGCCTTCAAGTGAAGATTCTAATGTAGAAGTTGATAGGAGGCAAATAATATCCGTGGAGGCAGTTTCTAAACCGTAAGTAAAATTGAATTTATGAATATGATTAATACTTTAAATTCATGTTATTGAACTATTTGTGGTTTGAATTGAATTATAGGAAGAGGTTTGCTCAACAATTTGTGACTCGTGATATCATTTCTGAGGTAATGTCAAGGATGCCTTATGCTGCAGATTGTTGGAAAAGTTATTGCCCTGAAATGAAAGAAATGTTATTTAATGATTTTAAGGTAAGTAATTAATCTAATAGTATTATATATTATATCATTATATCAACAACTATTTTTTTTTTCTTTAGTTGTATTATTGCAGGAAAAATATCGTTTTGCATCAGAATATGATCGTGTGATGGCGAGGGAAGTTTGGGAAAAAACATGCATGGATAGGTATTCTGATCAATTGTGTAAAGACAGGGATAAAGCAATAAAAGTAGCAAACTCAAGAAATTATGAGGATTTAAGGGCTCACAAGCCTAGAGGGATGAAAGCTGAAATATGGAATGGGTTGATCGACATTTGGAAGACACCAGAATGGCAAAAGAAATCTGTTGCTGGAAGACAAAACAGGGCTGCCCAGCCTGAAGCAATGGTGCACACAGGAGGGTCAAGAAGCTTCGGGCAACACAAAAAAGCTATGGTAATCAAATCATATTGAATTTTGTCAATAATTAATGAGTGATGTTTGCTTTATTCCTATTCTAATATTTGGAATTTGTTACAATTAAAATTGTGTTATTAATGATGTCTTAAAAATCTTTACCCATGGATTTTTTTTAAGTGCAGTTTTTTTTTAATTCTTTAACAAGTTGTGGAAGTTGAAGGTTTTGAAAATTAATGAGTTTCTTTGGTAAATTTCATTACTTACAATTTGTACTGTAATCTTTTTACAGGAGGCACAAGAGAATCGTCCTGTTTCTTATCGTGAAGTGTATAACAAAGTTCACAAAAAAAATGATGGTGAATTTGTCTCAACTAGGGCAAAGAAATTTATTGTATGTTATTTTATATTTTAAGATTGATTATGTACTTTTTTAACCTCTTGCTATTTTACTTATATTTTTTTGTTTATTATTTGTAGGAAACATATGAAGAATCAATGACACAAAAATATGGAGAAGACACTTCATCTCATCCTGTAATTGATTCTGATCTTTGGTTAAAAGTTGCAGGTGAAAACAAGAAGAAAAGAGTCCATGGCATGGGACATAGCTTGGATCTTGGAACTAGTAGCTCTACCCAAGCTTCATCTCCAGAGGTTGCAAGTTCCTCTACAAATCTTACGCCTATGACAGAAGAACGGGTCACTACAGTTATAAATAAGGCATTGGCTTCTTTCTTGCAAATGCAATTACCAGAGATGATGAGGCAAATAATTCAGGCAGTTCAACCATCAACAACACCATCAACCAACCAACATAGGGAGGATCAAGGACGAGATGATGATTTTACTAGCTTAGGTTGATTACTATTTAGGATGACTCGTTATTTGGCTTTTCTTTTTGTAAGACAATGATTAGTTTGGGTTTCTTTAAGATAGTATGCACAAGTTGGATTTTGTAAGACATTTAACAATTTGGTTTTGTAAGAGATATTGTTACATGAAACTTTTATTTTAAATCATGTTGAATTGAAAAAATATTATGTAGATGATTTAGATTTATTTAAAATATCAAATTAAGTGGCATATCTACAGGGATTCATGAGAGAATAATGTATATATATAGATAAATTGGGAAGGTTTCGCGAGATATTAGTGAGGGATTTGCGAGGAAACTCAAAAGATATGTTGTGAAGGTTTCGTGAGGGATTAGCGTGGCATTTGCGAGGGAACTCAATCCATATGCGTTGATGGATTTGCGTGGGATTAGCGAGGGATTCGCGACGAAATGCAAAAGATATGTTGTGAAGGTTTTGCGAGGGATTAGCGTGGTATTCGCGAGGGAACGCAATTGATATGCTTTGATGGATTTGCGTGGGATTAGCGAGGGATTTGCGAAGGACACATTTGCGAGGGATTATCGAGGAATTTGCGAAGGCCCTATTTGCAAGGGATTTGCGAAGAACCTAAATTGATATATTGCAACAGAGTTGCGAGAAATTAGTGACAATATCGCGAGGGATAATTGCGAGGGAGTAGCGAAGGATTAGTGTAACGACCCGCCATGGTCGTCACACTACGAACAACCTTACACTACTAAAATATATATATTAAAAGAGTATAATAAAATATTTTTACAACACAAGTTGCTAATCAAGCAACCAATAACAACCAATTATATACAACAAAATATGCTACCATAAGGTAGCCTACAAAAAAAATCTATCTTCAGGCACCTCCTGTGGCCTCTAGCAGCTATCTCCAGTCTATCCCTGCCCTGCTCCCATACAACGTATGATCATCGCAGTCCAAACCACATGGAAACATGCAAGGGTAAGCTAGAGATAATAAATAACTCATAATAATTTAATCTACAACATAACAACTATAAAATCATCTTCGCATTCGACACATGAGACAAACAACATATATACTATATATCTTAACATCATTTCAACTTACAACATAACAACACTATCATCATCTTCAACAAGGTCAACATATAACACAATCATAGCTTAATAACACAACAACGAATATACAACTCATATCAACAACAAATTAAATCATCAACAACTTATGCGTCGTCACTCATTTCGACTCGGAGATATCCTACAACATGGTAAGTAGTCTAAGTGGCTAGGTCCTACCGAACTGACAACACAACAAATTTGGATATCAATCCACAACACAATAATGATTTCTCAGACTTTGCCACTTAAACAAGGAAGTATAGTACTCGGTTAGGAACTAAGTTCCCGACTTCGACCTGACCCCTATACCGTGGTCGCTTTGTAATCGGTATAGCTCGACCTTGCCCCTATACCGTGGTCGCTTTGTAATCGGTATAGCTCGACCTTGTCCCTATACTGTGGTCGCTTTGTAATCGGTATAGCTCAACCTTGCCCCTATACCGTGGTCGCTTTGTAATCGGTATAGCTCGACCTTGCCCACACACGGGATCAACTATGTCCTAGAGGAGAACAACACAACGACCACTCCAAGAGACAACTTTCCAAGGAGGGTTTTTCAACAAATTGGGCTCATAGAGCACCACAACTATCTCAATCCACACAATGGGATGAGCAACTTTGAAAACATCTCCCCTAATCCTAGTGATCAATAACTTATCATCACAGCTTTACAGCAAAAGACATCATAACAACTTTACAACAATAGGCATCATAACAACTCTACAACAATGAGCATCATAACAACTTTACAGCAATAAGAAACTTAACAACTTTACAGTAATAAACAACTATAGTCATCAATCTCAACATTAACAACTTTAAACAACATAGCAACTTTTCAACTCATCATCTTAATCAACTTTCAACTTAAACATCATGGTATATCAGCACAACAACTCATCAATGTTATTTAACAACACATTTTAATAACACAACAACTCATTTCAACTTTAAACAACACAATATTAGCTCAACTCATAATTTAAAACTCAATCATCATAAGGTAATCTCTTTTCAACACATGGCACAACATACAACTTTATAGTAACATACAACTCTCCTCTAACACTTAACAATATTATCATCATGCACTTCACAACATATACATGTCCACACATAACATATAGCTACTTTATCAACTTAATTTCAACTAGCTTCAACAATATCATATATCAACACACAACTTGTAAACAACTTCACAACTTAACTACAACATGCATCTCCAACAACCTCATTAATAAATATTTAATCATATATTAATAACACACAATATTTTCATCACATAATACAACCCATACTAATCAACCTAAGTACCAAAATGAGCTCCCAACTCACATACAACCAACAACTTTACAATCTAGCTTCCCTTACCTGAAGATTGGCTCAGAATAGCCAAGAAGCAAAATTCCCTTTCCGAAGCTCAACCCGAAACTTCAATCCACCCAAAGCAAGTTTCCTAGTCCAGAGTTCTTCTCTCTAAAACTTCTCTCTAAAATCCTCCATTTTCTCCCCCCCCTCAACACCTATTTATAGAGGTTTAAGAGTGGCTAGAATGGCCTGTTCCGAATCCGGAACGGCCCGTTCTGCACCCTTTCGTCATGTGTAAAAATCACATGCAGAACGGCCCGTTCTGAAATCAGAACGGCCCGTTCTGGAACTCATCCAGAATGGCCCGTTCTCCATCCAGAACGGCCCATTCTCCATCCAGAACGGCCCGTTCTCCATCCAGAACGGCCCGTTCTCCCTCCAGAACGGCCCGTTCTCAACTACGACTTACAGGTCAATTTAGTAGCTTGGAACGGCCTGTTCCAAATTGGGAACGGCCCGTTCTGAGCTACTTAATCACCCATATTGGGCTTTTGGGCCTGAACTTGCTACGTCACAATTAGCGAGGGAATAATTAAACAATATTTTCCGATGGAGTAGCGACGAAGTAGCGAAGGATATCTTGCGAAGGTTTTACGACGTGTTAGCGAGGAAATATTAAATATAATTAGCGAGGGAATTTGGGTTCTACATTTGCGAGGCAATAGCGATGAATTAGCGGCACAAATTTGCGACGGACTAGCGAAGCTAGTTGCGAGGGAAAAGCGAAGGAATGTAGCGAGGGAATTACGGGGGATATCCATCCGTCGCTAATTAGCGACTTGAATTTAGCGAGGGAATAGTCCTTCCCAAATCCCTCGCTAGTCCCTCGCCATTTTGTTTAGCGAGGGATTTGCGAAGGATCTTTCCCTCTGTAATTCGCAATTTTCTTGTAGTGAAGGTACATAAGGTTTGCTCAATGCTATCAATCTAGGATTCTAGCATAGATAAGGATTACCCCTGGTATGCCTTGGGAAGCTACACTCAACAAATTCCACCTTCTCTAGCCACTCTACCTTCTGACAGTAATGCTCTCTACCAACCACACCATATATTCCATTATGACACCCCTTTTAATTTTCAATTTTATATTCATTTACCTATAGATACTATTTTCTTTTATAGCTTTCCTGAACGTTCCTCTCCTCTCAATCCACCTGAACCAGCTCAATCTAATCGTAAAGCCACCTTGACATTACTAGTCCAATTTCTCATTCGAGCCCTCCTTGCCTCCATTTGAAGGCAATGTCAATCTGAGTGTAAATTTCATAAGTTTCTTGTAAAGTTAAACCTAGAGATTAACTTCAACAAGGACTTTGATTGATTTGGACTAACTTTTGTCGATACCAAAAGAGGGAGTAGTATCATTATTTTTTAATATTTTTTGAAAATTTATTTCATTTAAATTTATTATCTTTTGAAAAAATTGCTCCATTTTAAGGGGAACTAGCTATAATTATTTATGGATATACAATATTTCTATTTAGTACAAATGCATGCTTAAATCATTTTTTAAAAATTTTGAATGCTCTGATATATTTGAAATGTTTTGATATTTAGATACTTTGATATATAGATGCATGAGTTTACTAATACTTTGAATGCCTAATAACATTGTATGATATGATAAATATTCATAAATATGTATTACTTTGTCAAATATAACATTTGCTATGATAAACATGCATAAGTAGAACCCTTTATAAATCTTATGCCCTGATTCTCGAAAAAAGAATTTTATACTATGATATATGGGGATATGTTTTATTATGATATATCATCTTTAGTCTGATGATTGTTTTATATATGCATATGCTCTGATACTTGCATAGCATGCTCTAATTTTTATAAGCCTAAACATGTTGTTGAAAATCTCATGATCTAATCTTGAAAAATCGGATATAGTATGCTTTAATGTTTATAAAAGTCTAAGCATATCATCATAATCGTCTTAATCAATAAAACCTTTGATCTACCACAAATGCGTGTTTTACTCTAATAGACAAACCTTTGACAAAAAACGCACACTGAACGCTAGTAACAAATCTTACTAAAAGGAACATATCATTTGAGTGCACAAATCTTTTTCTTAAAATTTTTTCCAAAAGCAATCTCTCTCGTCTATTAGAAAAATTGACTATATCTATATTTAAAAACTATTCATTTTCAAAAACATGTTTGTCATCATCAAAAATGGGAGATTGTTAGGTCAAAAGACCATCTTAAATGCCTCAAGTTATAAGTTTTGTTCATAATAAACATATTTTTCTAGAGAAAATTTTTTCAAATCATTCTACAAGACAAATGAGTATAAAATGAATGAGTACAAGACGAATGCACTAAGATGATCAATTATCTTGACATAAAAATTCTAACAGACAAAACACTTCATTTGTAAGACAATTATTTTGAATTCATATCATTTAAGATGTCTGATAACTAAATTGATCTTTTCGTATATGATAACATATTGAAGTAAAATAGCTCTTCCTTGGCACCCACAATATCAAAAAATAAAGAAGACAT